TGGGAAAAAATAAGCTGTAATTAGAAAGTAAAAACTGAAAGATCTAGGGGGGAGGGGAGACAGGAATTAAAGAAGACATCTAGATTTATGACACGGGAAAGTAGGTGAATATTGAATAATGGCATCTTATAAATGTGGGAAAATAGGGCATGATACAGTGCAGGGTGAAAGTGAGTCTAGAGGCCCTCCCTGGTGATGCAGCGGTTAAAGCACAGCACAAAGAAGCTAGAGCCACTTCTGTATGAGTATGATTCCCCACCTACCCTGTAGGTGACCCACATGGCGCGGTAGACTTCTCTTGATCCACCTGCTGCTCCCCTCAGCAGTGTACTTTGTTGATCTGCCTGTTCTGCTTCCCACTCTGTCTCTGGTGAATCCTCTCACTGCCCCTGCACCACTGGCCTGTACCCCAGTTCTGTATGCATGAATAAATAAATCTTAAAAAAAAAAGAAAAAAGTGAGTTTAGATTTGCCATCATACCCTGCAGTAGCTAGAGAACAGTTGTGTGAATAGAAGGGAATACTGAGCTCTTGAGTCTCTGCAGAAAAATTTTGAGTTGTAGAAATAAATGTGGATATTCTTATCAACTATATATTGTAACTTAAATATTGAGAAAGGATGAAATTGCCCAGGTAGAGAGTAAGAAGAAAAGATGGGAACAGAAGCTGGAGGAAGAACAACTACAGCTGAGTTTTTCAGGAAGACCTGTGGACCACCTGCACCATAATCTCTTGAAGAGTTTGGAGACTCTTGGGGTCTCCCATCAACCCACTGAATCATACAATCTGAGAGGCCTAGGAATCTGCCTTTAAGGGAGCAAACTCACTCCCCAGATTATTTGTGTGCAAAATGAAACCGGAAAACTACTCATTTAGATGAGTACAGGAATGAGTCCCTCTCACCACAAATAATAAAAAAAGGTAAGAAGGAGCTGCACTCCACTCACCCTGTCAGGAAAACAAGAATTCCACATCATAGTAGCCAGTGGAAAAGAACATACCATCTAAGTCCAGAGTGGGCTGATGAAAATAAGCAGTCAATAAATATTTGTTCAATGAAAAAGTGGGGAAAGATTTAAAGTTAGGAATTCTCTATATTCCCGAGCTCCTCCCTGGGTATAATTATAATAGTGGGAGATAGCTAAAAAGGAAGGATGGGCTGGGAATCACTTCAGTGCCAACATCTAGGACAAACTGCAGAAGTTTATCAGGTCCTTAGAGAGCTAGTGGATAACCACCACGACCCCTCCCATCTGGGGCAACCACAGAAACACAACCATAGAAACAGCACTATGAGACAAGTTGTTGAAAGGACCGAAGTAAAGGTGTCTGCTTCATGACACAGATACTCTCTCTCTCAGATGGACTGTATCACTAAACCCCAAATTAAAGCAAATCACTCCTTCACTTAAAACACCAAAGATGTTTATCCTATTTGTCCAAATAAATGTGATCTCTCTTTCTTAGTCATAGTTGCTGAATAAGTCACTTATCAATCAGATCTTTGTCAAAGTGCTGAGGCTTCAGACCATCAGTTTGTTGGAAACTGCATTGGTTCTGAGCGGTTAAAAGGCTGTGTCTAAAGGTGTTTACCTGATAGAAGGAAATATAAGTACCCATGCGAATTCACAGCTGCTTGGGACCCTGGTGTCCACCCCCCCCCCCCCCCCGCTCTGAGGTTACCATAACATTATTATAATGGAGGCTAAGCAAGGTGGAAAAGAGAAGAAGAAATTTACTTATTTAGTCCCATATTCCCTTTTCTGTTTCTCCACCTGTGTTATGTGAGGGGGGAAGCAGTTCAAACTTACTGAGCACCGATAAATGCATTTTTACTCATTAGCTGTGTGACTGTGGGTGACTTGCTCTCCTATGTCATCCCATAACATTGTTTTCCAAATGTAAAATTCTAAGTCTAAGATAGAAGAGGGGAACAGTAATCAAGAAAATAATGTTTTAATGCTATGAGTTTAAACGTTGAGGTCCCTATTTAATGAAGAAAGAGACGATCCAGAAGCTATGAAGCAATTACTAGAAGTAATTAAGTATACAAATTACAATAAACTGGTAGTGTTTCAAAAATTCATCTGTTAGCGGGTAATTGAGAACAGGAACATAAATTTGTTTTCCACAGAGTTCATGTGAGATGAGGTGGCTAGGCATGTATGGGGACTCACAAAAATTTCTTTAACCTTCCATATCAGTGACTGCTGGGCACTTTTGATACAAAACAAACAAAACCCCAAATCCAAACCGATGTTGCTATTATAGTAATCAAGCAAAAAGAATATCAAAATAAAAGAAAAAAAAAGGCTCTTGCAGCCTATTCTCTACAACGAAGTTAATCATTGTAAAGATGGTTTACAATGCTCTGCTTAACACTGTAGGTCCTTCTAGAGAGCAGGTTATAATAGCTCATTCCTCCAGCACAGGGACCCAAGTAAAGAACTCTTGCTTTGCAATAGAGCGCAGCTACTAGGTTCCAGGTACAAGGGACACCGGGGGCCAGAGGTATCCGAAAGCTGGGAGAAAAGCACATAGGTGGAGAGGAGGAGAGGAGGAGTCTCTCTGGGCAGAACCCATCAGACCTGTGAAAAAGGAACTTAGTGATGGAGCATTCTTTCATCCCAGCGCCAGGATTCCCTGACAACACTCCTGGAGTGGCAGCAGCTCAGTGAACACAGAGTCTAAACCATGGCAGGCATGCTTCTATTAAAGCAGGGGACATGCAAAGGAAGCACCTGAAGCCTGCATGTGTACTGCATGCAGAGCTCTGAGAATGGAACTCTGGCTGACCATGGCATCCAACTCCCCCTTTATTTTCCACGTGCGGCTTTTCTCTGAGCTTTTCCAAATTCCCTAGCTGCTTATTAGCACACCAGAGACACCAACTTTATTTCTTCTGGTATGACATTTTGTGCTTTCCTGACCTTATCATTATAAATATAACACAGCAAACTATGGCAACTACACTAATAAAGGTCATTTACAAAGGCATGTGGAAAAAAATCTTGCTTTCCTAACTTTATAAGCCTAACCACCTACTGCAGGGGTAACTTGGCAACTAGCCGGAATATTCTTCATGTTTCTCCCTTTCTGAGGCACATCACCAGCAACCTCTACCTTTCCCACTAAACATACATACATACGTATCTCTGCTGTGCAAAAAGAAATTAGTTAAGAAAGAAAAAGCACAGAAGATTCTATTTTCCTATTGCAATGTTCAGCATATAAAGAATACATTTCTAATAGCTTCCACTTTTCAGATGGGCTACTTTCTCATCTGAGTGGCAGGACACATACATGGGAAGGAGAAGTCAATGTCAAAGTATAAATAGCTGTGGCCAAAAACAATATTGCAGAAGAGCCAATGGGAGAAAGGTTCCCAAATTGCAGCAGGAGTGACTTAATTCCATGTCTCCCTTCACAAGGCCTCAGGGGAAACCATCCTGGGGAAACAAAAGAAGGGTGGATGCCACCAGGACTCACCTAAGATTCTGATCTTAAGTAGAACCCGCAGTATTTCAGAAATATACACAACACATGTTAAATTTCAGCTAGTATGTCCATGAAAAGGAAATTTTTCCTAAGCTAAGTCAGAGAAAAACACCACCTAAGAGAAAGTCAATCTCTTCTCACATACTAGTAATGATTCCTCAATACCAATGTTGACTTTAACACTGTGTTTTTTTAAACTCACTCATATCTGAGATAAGATCTGTCATCACACGGCCATACACCAAAGTAAACCCTGCATTAGTTAGGTTCCTACCACCCTGCCACAATCGGAAGGTCTGGTAGTTTCACAGAACAGTCGTTAACTCTTCTGACATCAGTGGGCTAAATTGCCTGGGGGCACATACTTCACTTTGCACAAGTTTCCAGACTTTTCAGAATTGCTCTCAGGTGTTGAAAGTCATTTAAGTTGCACAATTTTATAGAACACACATCCTTCCGGCATTAGCTGCATTCACAAAGCGCAGGCAATCATAAAGTTATATAAGAAAAGCAGTCTCTCTCTGAGGAGTGAGTTCAGACACACAATACAAGGTTCCAGGAAATCGCACATCCTCTTTGCGGGGCTGGGTCACCGGAACTAGTTAAAGAAATAATGCAAAGCACAGAGGGCAGTTCCTGCTGAAAAGATGCAGGCAACGCCACAGCAGGATCTGCATGCACTCCTTCGGGAGGAGAGGGTGTGTGCTGTCTGTAAAGAGCCCCTGTGGACCAGAGTAACGGTACAAACTGAAAGCACCCCGGCCCGACACGAGTTTCAGCTAGTGGGAGAGGAGACGGGGGAAGCAGCATTAAATGACCACTGCCTGGAGGTGCGCCCTGGAACTGGCGCACACCCGGCGCTGCCACCTGCTTTCTACTTCCTCGGGGAGGGCTGGTGACGCGTGGGCCCGCGAGGCAACAGAGGCAGGGATAATGAATGTGGGGCTTCCAGAGCCCCAGCAAGAGAAACTGTCCCCCGGGCCCGACCCCCCGCCGCCGAGCGACCCTCTCCAAGCGGCGCGCGGCCCCAGGGGTGAAGGTAGAGAACTTGCGGGCGGCGGAGGTGAGGGCCAGGGAACCAATGGAGAGGGGGCGGCGCCGGGGTCGCCAGGGCCGCGACGCCCAGACAGTGGAAAGGGAGCAGGGGGCGGGGCCGCGCGGAGCCAAACAGCCCCGGGCCCGGCCGGGGGATCCCCTGGGGCGCGGGTGGGCGCTGGGCAGATCGGGGCGCCCTGGCCGCTACCTGCTGTTGGATCTTCCCGTCCTCTGTGACGACCCAGTGCGTAGTGGCGAGGGCCCCTCGAGCCGCCACACTCAGCAGGGCGGAGAGACTGAGAAGCCAGCCTGGGCCGGAGCAAGGCGACAGCTCGCACCGGCCGCGGACCCCTACTGCCGCCGCCATCTTGCCCCCCCCGGCCCGGCCACTCACACCGGAAGCGGAAGCGGCCCCCGCCGCCCGCCATCTTGGGGAGGTCGGCGCTGGAAGAGGAGGAGCTGAGAGGCGCTGCCCGCTGACGACCGGCTCTCTCGGCCTGGGTTTGGGAGGCGGGAAAGCGCGGCCTCGGGCCCTCGCCCAGGCAGCCTTCAGGTGGGAGACCGCTCTCTGGAGGACGTTTTCCGGTGCAATCGGGGAGTGTGGAAACTGGAGGGGCCGAAAGTAATGTCTGAAGCCGAAATAAGAGGGATTTGTATTGCTAGCAAAACCGCGGTTTTTGTTTTATTTGTATTTCTGGCTTTGTAAAATGTTTGGGGAATAAAAAGTATGCTGTCGAAACCCTTTGGAGAAGTGATGGGTTCTCGGATTCCACGCTCACAGGCGTGGACGCTTGGCTAGAACGGGCAGCGCTGTCCAGTGCAAACGGCGCGAGCCGCGCGCGCGCGCGAGGACAGGTATACTTCGAAAAAGCGAAATCTCAATGCGTTTCATTCAACCCATTAGAAACTATTATTAGTTCTGTATGACATGTATACAGTTGAGACTTTTTGAACTACATTTTCGAAATCCGAACGCATTTGCATTTAGAGTGCACTTAAATTCCAACCAGCTATCCTGCAGGGCTTGCTGCCACCTGTATCTATCTACTTCGACCTTCTCTCAGCAGAGGGCTAAACTGAGTTAGTGCTGCAGACCTGCAGCGTGGACCTCCCTGGCAGCATCTTAGAAACGCACGTTTTGGATCTTCTCTCCCCTCCCTGCATCAGATGTAACCTTGTAACAAGCGCCCCAGCTGACCGGTAAGTACGGTCAATTTTGAGAAGCACTTTTCTTTAGGCAACCCACACGCTGGCCAAGCGACCAGCCTTGTTTTTCTTGAGCTTTTAATGTCGTTTTTGGGATTTCCTGGACCGCCTTCTAGCGTTATGTGCTGTTTTATATTTGGACTCATGCTTTTGATTTTCTCTCTACTCTACGCAGGTGTATTGCAGGAAAACAGATCACTCCCAAATGTTTGAAACAACTCTCCATGCTGTGGAAGCGATGGCCACATTGTTGCTGTCTTTTTTTCTGAGAGCAGCTTTTATTAGAGTACTGAAATAATAACTTTTCATTTCATTAAACATGCCTGACTTACCAGCTTTTTGCTTGGTAGACTTGGGTATGGAAGTCGGACCATTGAGCAATGTGCAGTCTGGTGGCATATCGGCAGGTTACTAGTTGAAATTAGGGCAATAGAACATGTGTGGAAGAGAATCACCAACCAAGTGAAAGACTTGGAGCAAAAGTTGCTAAGTAATGGCAACCTTCATGTTAGTATTTCTTGTTTTGTGACAAATGTCATGTTACATTTCTTATACACAAACACTGGTATTATAGAGTTCCTGTGAATCTTCACTCACCAGGTATAGGCTCGTTAAGTATTTGGCCAAGATCATATAGACAGTGAGCAGCATAAATCAGATTTACTAGATTTTAGAGGCTGAGCAGGGGTGAAGGATGAGTGTGAGAGAAGCTGTAACACGTATTTTGGGCACCAGCAATTTTTTCAGCACAAAGAGTCAGAATCAGTTTCTTTGGCTTTACTGAATCACCCATCTTCCCTGTGATAGACTTTGGTTGTGTGTTCATTTTCTATTGCTGTGTATTAGATTACCACAAATTTAGCAGTTCAGCATACTGTTGCAGTTCCCATGCCATGGCTTGGCTGGATTTTCAGTAGCTGATAACAAGGGTGCAATCTCATCTGAGGCTTGAGGCCCTTTTCCATGTTCATGCAGGGGCTCAGCAACATTGTTTGTTATTCTAAGGCTTGGGTCCCAGTATTCTTGTTGGCCACTTCACATTTTCTCTTATAAAGTCTATATAAATTTAAGATGGTAGTTGACAAGATGGCTGATGTCTCTATAGTATGATGCAATTCTTAGTTGAATGAAAACCCATGTAATTTTGTTTGCTTTTAATGATTTTATTTTTTCAACATTAAATGAGATGTTTATATATATATATATATATATATATATATATACACACCCACCCCCAAAAATGTCTCTGGTATATAGCTGTTCGTTATTATCATTATTTTCTTGCCTGTTCCATTATATTCCTGCTATGAGAGAAACCATCTGGTATTTCCCCTTTCTGGCTTATTTCATTAGGCATGATCTTTTCCAGTTCCATCAAAGTTGCTGGAAAAGATATGAGTTTCTTTTTTTTGGTTGCTGAGTAATATTCCATTGTGTATATTTACCACATCTTTTTAATTCAGTCATCCAATTTTTGGGCATTTGGGCTGTTTCCATGTCTTTCCAATTGTGAATAAAGCAGCAATAAACATGGGGGTGCAGGTATCTTTTTGAATCAGTGTTTTTGTGTCTTTTGGGTAGATACCTAGGAGTGGGATTGCTGGGTCATAGGGAAGCTCCACGTTTAGCAGTGAGGAATCTCCAGTTTTCCATAGTGGTTGTACTAGTTTGCATTCCCACCAGCAGTGCAGGAGTTCCTTTTTCTCCACAACCTTGCCAACATTTGTTGTTAGTTGTTTGAAGATGTGCAATGTTCACTGGGGTGAGGTGGTATCTCATTGTAAACCCATGTAATTAAAAAAAAATTTTTTTAGCAAAGTCCATTATTTACTATTTTTTCCCCTACAATATTCTATGTCTATTATAGCATGTAAACATTTTCCATGAAGCTAGTGCTCTCCTGTGCCTAAAGACTGTTACCGAAATAGAAAAAAATCAGCTTATTGCAGATTTCCCATTGTTTATACTTTGATCCTGGAATGGTTGGAACCTATGCCCAAGTTTGGAGGAAAGAATTCTTAAGAGAAAGTGAAGTCTAGTCTCATTAACAACCAGCAGAATGCAGGAAATTGGGGAGTGATCATTTCATACAGAAGAAATGAGCCTCAGTACCAGAGAAAGTTACTTTGAGTTACTAAAATTGGTTCGTTATCAGATGCATTTAGCTGTGGGGGCATGATTAGGAACCTAAAACACATTCTTTAGCAAAAACTGGCACATTTTGAAGGTTTGTTGTTTCATTCTCAAATGCATTCCTTTGAGATCTGTACCAGGTTCTCAGCTCAGATTCCTTGGACTTTTTATGCTGCCTCTTACACATCTTCACATTCAAATAAATGCTCAGAGTCCTTGCAACACTGATTACACCGGCTCTGCATTAGTGAATGTAACTCCGTGAGTTTGCACCTCTTGTTCATATATCCCATATTCTTGAACAGTGCCTTTGCATTTTTTAAAAAAATATTATTTATGCATACAGAACTGGGGTACAGGCCAGAGTTGCAGGGGCAGTGAAAGGATTCACCAGAGAGTGGGGAACAGGGCAGGCAGATAGATGAAGTACACTGCTGATGGGAGCAGTGGGTGGGCCAGGAGAGATCTGTAGCGCCATGTGGGTCACCTCTGGGGCAGGCGGGGCTTGAACTCATGCTGAAGTGGCTTCAGCTTCCTAAGTGCTGTGCTTTAACCTGCTGTGCCACCAGGGAGGCCCCCTGCATTTATTTTAAGTTTATTACATAGTAAGCACTGGTTTAGATGTAGATGCTTAGGATAACCAGTGGGCAAAAAGCAACAATCCTTACCTTTATATTAGCCATATTACATTCTAGAAGGGAGACAGTAACTATACCTCACATGGTATGTTCAAAGCTGGCAAATACGCCAGAGAACATTTAGGTTAAGTGAGATCTGAAATGTTGGCAGGGTATTAAGAAGCACTGATATATTAGTTAGGATTCCTTGAGAAGGTAATCTCTGAGGATTTGAAGGTTATGGAGTTAGACAAGTGGATGTCAGTGCTACCATAGAATGGAGTCTGCAAAGACTCTAAGGCAGGAGGGTGGCTTTGCCTAGCCTGCCTGAAACCAACTGACTTGGGACAGAAATCCAGGATGAGAAGCAGCTGTGGTCAGACATTAAGAGTCATGGCAAGATTTCTCATTTTCATTCTGAAATGAGGGGCCACTCAACAGCTTCAAATTAGAGCAGTGACTCTTTGCTGCTGTGTTTAGACAGGATCAAGTTTTCAGCATACAGATAAACTCATAGGACTAGATGTGATCATCAAGGGAATTTAGGTAGCTTATCCTGACCTATTGAAACTTTGGCTTTAGGACACTTAATCACTCTTGGGTTACTCCAGTAAAGCATTTTAATAAAGGTTGGCAGTCAAAAGTTTCAATTTGCTTAACATGAATTTGAAGATAGAAATAATTTTATAATTATTTGGTATGTATATGGTGAAAAGAACCACATCCTTTTTCCCCCAAGGTGTAACACATGGCTTGGCACATGAGCAGCAATCAAAAATAACCAAGAATCTGAAATTGTTACAATCACAACACATGAAGACACAAAACAAAATTACAAAAGGAAATTTATTTCAAAAGCATAAGGGAACATTTACATTTGAACAAGGTGATGAACAGGTGTCTTGCAAAAGAAAAAAAAAATGGCATGAGTTTTCATTCAGAATTTTGAAGCAAAAATAACCCAAGTTGTGCACTATTGCTCTAGGAAAGAGAAGGAACGGAGAGGGTCAAAGACGGAACACAGTCAACTCAATACCAAATTTGAGAAAGCAGTCACTTCTTTTTAGCTTTGAGTTTACAAGTATGCTTAAAAAAAAAAAAGGAAACGTTACGGAAACGTTACACTTAATATCCAAATTTATATAACTAATCCAATACAGTTTCTATACTTGAAATGGCTTTAGGCCACTTGCTGACCTGCCTCTGAGGTCCAGACCACCTACCTGGCTGGTCAGTTTTCAATGGCAAGTTCATATTCCTATGTCTAGTCTGATCTCAAGGGAGCTTCGGTTCAGCTCATAGTATTTTGGAATGTTTAGAGATTATTGCCACCACTCCAGAGTCAAGCTGACCAACTTCTTTTGCTCACTTGTATCATTCTAGTCTTTAAAAAATACTTTTCCATAAACATGTGCAGTAATCCTAACAAAGGGGTTTGCCTTTTTCCTAATGTAGAGGTAACAGTAATGAAGACACCTGCATTACAATCAAACTATTCCTCAAAAAATGTCAAACTACTAGAAAATGTCATTTAGGCATTGGATTTGAATAGCAAACATAGGGAAGGAAGCTTAACTGAAACAAAAATAATGTGAAACATTCAAGTGCAGAGCAAATGGCCTATGCTACTAAAAATGCCCATGACATTAAACACTCCACAAACCCCCCATCTGTTGTTTTAACCTAAAGATTCTATTGGCTAACTTATACAATAATTTTGATTAATAACCTGAGAAGTTAAAATCTTGAAAGTGGCAAAAGCAAACCAAGAGAGCATCCCTTAATGGTGTACCATGTTAATCACTTTTCCTGGGGTTGCCCTGGTTATTAAGTCCTCAAATTCTAAATTATTCTATCACATCCTATAGAAACCTATATGTACATCAGATTCAGTATTTTGGCTGTATTTCTCCAACAGGGTTCTACAAATTTAGCTTTGAAAATGCAGCCTTTGCTTAAGTTTTAAATAACAATAATCATGTAAGTGCAACTGACTCAAAATTCCTCACCACTGAGAGGAAAACCTAGATAACAAATTAATAATGGATTCAACCTCAAAAGGATAATCACCGTGTCAAAGACTACCCGTTCCTGGAATTTAAAAAAATGATTTATGTTGTGTAGTCAAGTTTCACAGCATGCATATATATATATATACACACACACACAGGCTTATGTATGTATGTATACTATACATACACATTTCTATTTGAATAGTAAGATCCAATATTCAAATGTCTGTATCACAACATATGGGGAAGAGTTAAGTAAGCAGTGCAAAGCAACTTACCTTCTCCTAAAAATGAAATGTCATTTGTACAGTTTAAGAAAGTCATTAAGTATTTTACTTTTATGACACTAGGTAGGAATGCTGCACTATTGCCTAGCAGTTTTATTAAAATGAACAAAAATTGTAAGATTGACCATTACTCTTCTCCATATATTGGGTAAAAAAAAGACAAACAGGGGAGAGGAAAATTAGTAACCTTTCAAAATTGATGATCTTTACCAGTCATTAGAAATAGACTGAATTTCATTACATTTTAGGCTTGAAATGTTCTCAGTAACAAATTATCAAGATGTTTAAAAGTAAAAGATTCACAATATGAAGTCTGAATAATGAATACTGCAAAAACAAAGTCAAGATTGCAGACAAAGCATCCAAAAATATCGCTGCTA